GGGGCAGGGTGGTTGTGTCAGAGCTCCCTGGGACTAGATCTAGAAGCGATTGCGAGGACGACTTGGGTGATTGAGGAGGGCGTGGACGTGTCTGGTATGGGATGCCTTGGAAAGGAGGGGCCCAGCCACAAATCCGGAGTAGATCTGTGGATGGTTCCTCAGAGGTACCCTCTTTCCCGTTGCCCTTTTATTTGGCAACACGAGAGCCCTCATGGTCTCTGTTCAAATTCTGGGAACTCTGTCTTTGGGTGAATTTAACCCGCATTATAGGACTACCCAGGGCCCTTTCTGATACTGGGTACAGACGTGGGGAAGATGTCAGAAAACAGGAAGCCGCTTCTGGGTTTCGTGCACAAAGTCCCCGATGCGAACGCATCTGGCAGCTCAGGCAAGACTCACTGCCCTTCGTGTCTGGGGCTTTTCAAAGCCCCCAGGCTCTTGCCTTGCTTGCACACGGTGTGCACCACATGTCTGGAAAAGCTGGAACCGTTCTCAGTAGTGGACATCCGAGGGGGTGACTCAGACACAAGCTCTGAGAGGTCAATATTCCAGGAACCCAAGTCACGAAGCTTGCAGCCACAGATTGGCATCCTCTGTCCGGTATGTGATGCTCAGGTGGACCTGCCCTTGGGTGGAGTGAAGGCTTTAACGATAGACCACCTGGCTATGAATGATGTGATGCTGCAGAGTCTGCGTGGGGAAGGCCAGGGCCTGGTGTGTGACCTGTGCAGCGACAGAGAAGTAGAGAAGAGGTGTCAGACCTGCAAAGCCAATCTCTGCCACTTCTGCTGCCAGGCTCATAGGTAAAGAGGGAATACCCCACCTGTTGTGGCTTAAGAGTGGAGTGCAAAGATATCAAGACATAAATCCCTGGTGGGCAGGTCAAAAGGAAGGCTTTCTCAGACACAGGCAGCAAAGAACCATACACCATGCAGTCACATGCAGCTGGCCTGATACCTGCAGTAATGAAAACATCACAGGTTTTAGTTTATAGAGCACAGTGGGTTTTCTTTCCATTACCAATTGTTGCACCTGGTGCTGGAGAGACAGGATTATTATGCTTTCACAGACCCTGCCCTTGATCTCATCTGGTCATTGTAACTTCTACAGAGAGACTGGCACTTACTTCACCCCTATTTATTAAAATGGAAACTCAGCAAAATCGTGAGATTAGCCAAGTTCCCATAGCTGGTAAGCATGTAAAAGGAATTGAATCCTTAATTCAGACATGCCTCTACTGTGCTCCTTTTCCTAAATGCATGCCACCTTCTCAGCATAGGTATTGGTTGAGTGGCTGTGCCTTTCCTCAGAGAGGTACCTGGAGAAGCAGGCTGGTAGATGCTAATTAGGGTGTTTTGTCTTTTATTACACTCAATGAAGTTTGTTAGATCATTTACACTTTGTCCCTCTTTCTCCTCCAACCCACTTTAGTGCATCAGAATACAAAACAAAACAACTAAACAAGGTTTTCAGATTAACCTAGAACAGTTTTGTTTTCTGGCCTTACCAACAGAACAGTTGCCATTGCTCCCTATTTTTAATTTGTGCGATCATCTCTATGACTGCCACATTGCCAGCTCGACAGCTGACCCATTTTCTCTGCAGTCACACTTGTACCAGAATTGGCATATACACTTGAAGTTGATGGGAATGTTACCAGGGACTTCTACAAACAGTCACTGCATTTTCCTAGGGATTTCCCTGAGTCCCCTAGGAGGCCGTAAGAAAGAGGAATTAAAGAGAATTTTGATTTTAGTGCCCATTGATTTCACTTACTACTAATGCTCATGACTCTTGAGGGAAATTCTGGCCTGCCAAAGTACATGATGTAGGTGCTGGTCAAAGGAATTGCTTTACTAAAATGTTAAACGTAAGACAGGAGATTGGTAGCTGGCTGCTTTCAAGGCTACATAGATCCATCTAGCAAGGTTTTATCACTCGGTGCTGGTCTTCACAATGCTTTAAACTACATTCTCAGAATGTAGTCTCAGCATTGCACCTTTGAAGTTGTATCCCAAGCCAAATCCAAGTATATGTGCAGTGTGTTCCAAACAACAGCCCTCAGGTAGGCCTGGGTCTCACTGTGTGGAAAAATAATCAAGCAGAGGATCTTGTTTGATATTAGAAGTTCTGAGGGATGTGACTTCAATCTATACGACTCCTAGAAGCTCTTTGCCAAACTGTCTCCCTCTAGAGTCATTCTCTCACTTCCTGCTTCTTCCCAGGCGGCAGAAGAAGACGATGTATCATAGCATGGTGGACCTGAAAGACCTGAAAGGCTACAGTCGGGTTGGAAAGCCCATCCTGTGTCCTACTCACCCTGCAGAGGAGCTGAGGCTATTCTGTGAACTCTGTGACCAGCCGGTGTGTCGGGACTGTGTAGTTGGAGAACACCGAGAGCACCCCTATGACTTCACCAGCAACGTCATCCACAAGCATGGAGATTCCGTGAGGGAGCTCCTCAGAGGCACCCAGCCCCACGTGGAGGCCCTGGAAGAAGCCCTGGCACAGATCAAAACCATGAACAGTGGCCTCCAGGAGCGAGTGGAGGCAGTGGCGGCTGATGTCCGAACATTCTCTGAGGGCTACATCAAAGCCATTGAGGAGCATCGGGACAAGCTGCTACAGCAGCTGGATACCATACGGGTCCAGAAGGAAAATTCTTTGCAGCTGCAGAAAGCACAGCTGGAACAGCTGCTGGCAGATATGCGGACTGGAGTGGAGTTCACTGAGCACCTGCTGACCAGCGGCTCGGACTTAGAAATCCTCATCACCAAGGGAGTGGTGGTAGAACGGCTCCAGAAGCTGAACAAAGTTGAATACAGCTCCCGTCCCGGAGTGAACGATAAGATCTGCTTCTCTCCTAGGGAGAAGGCAGGCCAGTGCCGAGGCTATGAAGTGTACGGGACCATTAACACCAAAGAAGTTGATCCAGCTAAATGTGTCCTTCAGGGAGAAGGTAGGGAAGCATTTCCCACTGGCACTGAGAGGATCATGCACAATATTTAGAGGCTTGTGAACTGTGGCTTGCTGTCTGAGGGGGTATCTCAGTCTGCAGTGTTTGCTTACCTTGCACAAAGCCTGGGTTTGGTTGCCAGCACCACATAAAACTGAACATGGCCACACATGTCTGTAATCCCAGCATTCAGCAGGTGGAGGAAGGAGGGTAAAGAGTTTGAGGACTTCTTTGGGTGCATAACAAGTTTGAGGCCTGCCAAGCTATATGAGACCACATGTCAAAAAGAAAAAAGTAATGAGGCTTGTTCAGCTAGGACTACTCTACTTTTGACCACTGACCTAGGGGAGAGGCACACTGATTTGAAAGGCAGCAACTCCTTGCCTGGCTCTTCATTCTCCCTTGGTCTGGGCAGGCCACAGTTAATACTGGAGTGAGGCTTAAGCCTGTTCCATCTCAGAAGAGCAAGGCTCCCAAGACTTTTAAGGACCATCCTTTGGTGTGATAGAGCCTGGTCACCCCCACAGAGACAACAGCACTGACTAGAACAAGGCCAAATCTGCCTATGCAGACACTCGTGGTAGCTCCTAGTGCTTAGGTAGCTATGTTGAGAGTTACAGAGCAAGGAGGAAGAAAAAAATTACGGCTTCCTTTCTTCCCTACCATTTTGGGTCACGCAAACTTTATAACATTGGTATGTCAAAGGACTTGTAGGGTGAGGTCTTTTGTTTGTTTGAGACAGGGTCTCACTGGGTAGCTCTGGCTCACCTGGAACTATGTGGAGCAGTCTGGTCTCAAACTCACAGAAATCCACCTGCCTCTGGGTTTAAAGGGTTGCATCACCAGGCCCAGCTATAAATGGTTCCTTCATACCAGTGTTCTGTTGCTAAAGGAAACATGTTATTCAGACATATTTCACAGATCAATCCTGATGGGAAATTTGTATTCAAGAGTTGCCTTCAGTTTAGCAAGGAATTTCTAAGTCTTTGGAAGTCACAGATTACTGAGAATGATCTTTTGCAGAAATACCACTAAGTAGGAGAGTTTGCTTCATAAGCCTCTCCTCCGTGTCTGCTAGTTCACAACCTGGGGCTGAGAAACCTGGTTTCCTCTGCATGCTGCCCTCCGGGCTGTAGCCAGTGGGTAGTCCTCAGCACTTTGGCATAGCTTCTGAGTTGCAGGGGCTTTCAGAACAAGGATGCAGCAAGCTGAACTGCACTATCGACTTCCTATTCTAGTAGGATCCAGGGCTTGCAGAAGGTAGTCTTGAGGATACCAGCCCATAGGTCTAACAGCTTTCTTTGGATACCTAGATTAATCCTGAGTATTTGCAGAGTTTCTTTAGGGCTGAATTTAAGATGCAGAATCCCATGTAACCCAAGAGCAGCTGCTGCTGAACCATATACCCAGACCTCCAGGAAGGGTACCCAAGCAGTATGGCCTAGAAGGCAAGAGGGAGCAGGGTAGTTCAAATAACTGGGAAGCACAATGTTTGTTGGTCTGACTGGGGGCAATGGCATCTCTGTTTGCCTGAAGAGTGAGTGATGTTTGTCTTTTGCAGATCTCCAGAGAGCACGAGAGAAACAGACAACCTCATTTACCCTGCTTTGTAAGGATGCCTCAGGAGAGAGCTTGGGCAGGGGAGGCGAGGACGTCCAGGTGGCAGTTGTCCCCAAAGATAAGAAAGACAGGTGTGTGTTGTTAAACTTATCATATGTAGAAGGCAGTGAGGAAAAAACCAGGGCCTTGGAGTTACTGGAGATATAACTAGACTCCTTCATTGTATGGTTCCATAATGCCATGAGAAAATGATTCCACACAAGTAACTGAATGTGTCCCCTGTGTAGGTTTCATGGCTTAGCTTCAGTTTTCTCTCTCAATATAGTCGCCTGCTGCCTCCAGATTGTCCTCATTCCAAACTTTGGAATAGACAGATTTTTTTTTTTTTTTTGGATATGTGACAGGATTGTACCATTTTAAAGACTTATCCTATTTTCCTATTAAGTTGCCCCAGGATTGTGTTTATATTTTTCCCTTTGCAATTGTCATATGGAGAAGAAGGGGCCACAGAGCAGGGAGTACAACAGAGACCTGCAAAAAATAGCTCAGGAATATCCTTCAGGTTCTCGGGATACTGAACGAAAGTAGAACTTGAGGAGCATTTATAATTCATATTAAATGTAATGAATGTAATACCACAGACTCTGGCCTCAGGTGGGCACAGCTGGAGCAGGCTCACGAGATGGCCTTTTGAACTCTTTACTTCTTTTATCCAGCCCAATCAGAACAGTAGTCCAGGACAACAAGGATGGATCATACCATGTTTCCTTCACCCCCAAGGAAGCTGGAGTCTACATTGTGTGGGTCTGCATCAGAGAGCAGCACGTGCAGGTGAGGAGAGCCCCACACTTGCCATCAGCTCAGGATCTCTCCTAGGACCAGCTGTTTAAGAGATGGAATAAACTGTCCTTTATTCATCATCGTGGACTCTTGTTCTGCGACTCTTGTTCCTACTAGAGGGTGCTCATGGCCCTAACACTGCTGCCTATTTCACCCATGGCAGTTACACTGCACTTTATTCTCTTCCTGGTTAGTTTGTGGGGATTCTTACTCGGGGAAAGATGTCTTGACCACAGGGGAGTCCCTTAGCAGACAAGCACAATGCATTCGATGGTTTTCAACCTTTCCCGCTGTGAGTGGGCCACAGTTGGCAGGGTTACAGCTCCTCCTGTTGTCTGCCCAGTCATTTATCTGCCTGTCAGCACATAGAACATATGTGTACCTGTACCATGGTTCCCGTCTCCCCACAAGTAAGTGTAACACTTCTTGGTTTAGGAAGTTTTAAAATCTCTGCTGACATTGGAGCAATCGGTCCCTCAGCCAGAAGGCAACGCTGATGGCCATAGACACCATTGTGGTCATGTTAATCATGTGACCTATGCACTAGGAAGACTCATTTGGTGCCATTACTGCTGATCTAATCGAAGTATGTCAGGATGGGCTGGATGTGTTTGTATTCTTTACTTCCATTTTCTTCAAATCCTACTCAGACAGATCAGTCTTGTCCCAATAGTCAGTAGCTCTGTAACCAAAATTGGAATTTGAACCTATTACTTTAATTTCAGGTTGTTTTGTTTCATTTTGTTGTTGTATGAGATAGCAGACAGAGTATTATTATAGTCTGTAAACTGGCCTACAATTCACTTTGTAGCCAGGCTGGCCTTGAACTCTTGATCCTCTTGCCCTGACCCCCTAAGTACAGGAATTACAGGATGTGCTGATCATATTTTCTTCCAGGTTTTTTAAAAAAAAAAAAAAAAAAAAAAAAAAAAGTGTTTGCAAGCTTTCTGTTACTATGCAAATACCAGAGCTATAAACTTAAAAGAGAGAAAGGTTTATTTTGGCTTATAATTTCAGAGGTTCAGTGTGTGGAGGGAGACTTAACATTGGGAAGTCTTCTAGGGTACAGGCTTTCTCTTTGTCTTTGCCAGACAATGTGGCTCTTACATAGGGACAGGAAAACTACAATCATTAATAAGCATTTGTGTTTAATGTGGGAAATAAATGAAAATACAAGTTATCCTTGAAGAAAAAGCGGATAGTTACTAACTTGAGACTCATTAGCCACACATACTAAACCTTTCTCTCTTCCATGTATCCTCACAGTCCACCAATAAGAGGACAGATAGACAGTTGTGGTGTCCAGGGTCTAGAGGTGGGAGGAAAGGTGTGATCTGTGAGGAGAGACACGTGACCGAGAAGCTGCAAAAAACACTGCACTGTGTCCTAGTTTGTGGTTGTGGCAGCCATGTAACTATCCATGAGAAGCCTCAAAAATTGACAGTGAGACTCCTCAAGACTAAAGTCAATCACACAAAAGCCTGAGACAAAATGATTGTGTATGGAGTGGGTTACACTCCTTTATTCAAGGCTCGAGAGAGGCAGAAGCCATAGAGCTTGAGCCAACCCCGAGCTAATTCAGATGTCACTGAAAATGAAGCTGAACCTATGGAACGGTCTTCAGTGCCCACAGGCTCAGTAGCTACATGAACTGTCAGTGCCCTGGTGAAATGTGGTGACTCTGGTGCATGGCAGACATCTGAGTCAAGTCTCACTGCACTTACATTTGCCCCATCCTTACCAAGACCTGTTTCTGTGCTACATCCTGTCCCTCCTGTGACTTAGCCTGCTTATCACGCACTGATACTCAGCACTCCCCTCCCCCATTGATAGCTGAGCTGCCATTCTTTGCTCTTGGCCTGAACCCTTCAGGGCTCACCGTTCACTGTGACCGTGAGAAGAAAGCATCGCTCACATCCAGGGGTGTTTCATTGCTGTACCTTCTGCTCCAGCGGAGGCCAGAAAACTGCACGCTGTGCCTGCGGTGGCACCATGCCAGGTAAGGATGGTCGGTGCCCTCACACCTGCTAGCCTGTGCAGCAGCAAGGATCCTGCCCGTCTCTGCCTCACAGCTACTGGGTAGGGTGTTTTGACCAAGGCTGTACTTCTAGAATCCCACCCTCATGTGTGGAGGCAGGACAAGGAGCTTGTACAGTAAGCCTCTTGCTCTGAATTGAAATGACAGGCTTCAAGGTTCTGAGTTCTTGATACAGTTCACTGGTCCATGGGCCTTGTGACCAGTCCACAGGCCTCCTGCTTCTCTGTGGGATGCTCAGATTCAGTCTGCACCCATTCTAGCTGTCTGAGCACTGTGAAATGCAGACCCACCCCAAATATGGAGAAATCTCAGATGGGGTGGGTCAGGGGAGTGGTGATTGATCAACATCTGACTCTCAGGGAAGGCAGGATATCCATGCAAGAAATCCAAATATATTTTTAAAAAGTTATTCTATCATGGGGTTCAGGAGATGCAAACATGTGCATCTTCCAGAAGACCCAAGTTCAATTCCTAGTACCCACAACTGTTTATAACTCCAAGGGATTTGATGCTTTCTTCTGGCCTCTGTGGGTACCAGGCACACACATGGTACACAGACATTCCCACAGTCAAAACACTCATATACATAAAATAAAAAAATTCCATCATGTCTTTAATGGTGGCCCACAAAATAAACTTCTGTACCCTCCTATGCAATTAATGCAGGATCTGTCTCCTTTTCTACTAGTCTACCTTTGTTTTTCATGTTATTCATGGCATATAGGTAAGATCCAAACCAGTTCATGTAACTGTTAAAATGCAAACTAGATCATCTTCAGGTTGCACGTTGCACAGTTTTGAGAGCCTGGTCTGGCTATGATGCCTCAATAGTTCTGGTTAGAGTGGAGTGAAATGGTTAGTTCCTTCAGAGAAATTTTCACTGCTTAAGTCTGAATGTTGCCAGGTTTAATTTGTAAAGCAAGAGCTGGGCTCTGTTTTCAGTTGTCTCCTTCCCTTTGTATTATGCAGGTGGGTACCTTGGCTGTGGCCATGGACACAAAGGACACCCAGGTCGTCCACACTGGTCTTGCTGTGGGAAGTTTATTGAGAAATCTGACTGCACTTACACAGGTGGGCAGAGTGCACCGAGGAGTCTGCTTAGGACCGTGGCTCTCTGATGGCTTCCTTGGTACAAGTTCAGCCAGGTAAACATGAAGCCAGCATGACTTATGATGTGCAGAGGACCTAAGAGCTTGAGTAGTTAGTTCCAAAGAAACTGACGGAATTAAAGACAAAGTGCTTTCTCTAACTTCAGAGTTCAAGTGCTTTTTTGTGTATGTGAGCTGCTCACCTATACTATGGCTGAGTGTGGGCCACCACTGCACCACTCTTCAAGGCAGGCTGATGGGTCTACTCTGTGGAGGCTCTTTTCTGTTTCATACAGGCATCGAAGTGTTTATGCCATGGGAACATAAAGATCATGGAGCAGAGAGAACATTATATCCTTACTTTCCATTGTATTACAACTCTTCAGTTTATTCCTAGAATTTAAGTGCTTCTCTGAGAATGAAAACCCTTTGTCCCATTCAGTTTTTGTAAGTATACTTTCAGTGCTTTCTCTAGTACGTGGTTTATGACAATTATAGTGATTTTGTTGTTTAGCTGAGAGCCTGGGTTGTGACTCATCTGTGTGGCACACAGATAGGCAGTTAACAAGGAGGAACAGTGTGGAAAGATCTCGCCCATCTGTTGCAGTTCTTCTTACAGCAGATGGTGGAGAGCCCTCCAACCTCACAGCTCTCACATAATAGAGGGGTTTTACTATCTTTATATCCAGCAACAGCTGGAAACATTGATTCTGCATGGTACCCCTAGTGGCTACAGGATTCTGGGAAAAAGACTTAGCATTGCCTCAGCCCTGCCAAATCTTCCCTGCATATACTTTGTGTGTTCTGGGACCCTTGGTTTCTTATATAGCAATAAACTCAGCATATAATAAATGTAACTGAAATTTGCATTATAAGATTTCTTAGGAAGTGACCCACTTAGTTGACAGCTGTCAGGTCACCACAGAATAATTTCCTTCTTGGAGCTGCTACATTGTAGCTATAGATATTAAGATACTAAGTTTCTTCCTTTTCTGGAAACATTCCCCTTTAGTCCCATTCTGTAAGCAAAATCTGATGTTCCCAGAAGACATGGCTGCCCAGTACCCTCAAGTTGGTTGTTGATAGTTCTTCATTCTTTATATTTCTGTCCCTAGAGTCATTTGTCTCTTGAGCTTACCATGGTTCCCAGCCAGCAGTGGCTTTTGCCCCACCCCAACCTCCCTGAGGAATGTCTGGCAGAATCTTGGGGATACAGGGCCTAGTATCTTCTAATGGGATTACTGGTCAGACTTTGACAGTGCCTAGGATAGCTTTCTGCAGCAAATGGAACATGTTGTGCCTCCCAGAAGTGTCATCTTCATGTTTGATGAGGCATCAGTCCTGCATTCTGCTCAACTTATCCTTTTTGGTCTCCTCTGCTCATCCTTGCAGTTTCCTGTTCTCTGTACACTCAGGAGAGCTGAAACACAGCTCTTCCATTTTGTTCCTGTTCCCAAGAGCTCATCCTGTCACTTAAATACCATTTATACACAGTGACTGCCAAGTTCCCCTCCAGGTCTACTCTCTAGACAATTATGTCCAGTGGTTTACACCACATCTCCCCTTGTGTATACAGTAAGTACCTCAAATTAAAGTGACTTCCACTGTCCAGTTCTCGCTGCCTGCCATCACCAAACTACTTCTCCTTTGTCCTCTCCTGCACTTTAGAAGCACAACTCTGTCCTCAGGTTGGGGGGCGCCTTGGAAGCATCCTGAGTGTCACACACCATATCCAAACCACAGGGCACTCCCGTCAGCCTTACCTTCACTCATAAGACTACTTACTCTCTGCATCCACTGCTGCTACCCTGGTCTGAGATGCCAAGACTTCCCACCTAAAAGGCTTCTCATTGTCTTCTGGCCAGCCTGCTTCTGCCTCCCCCCCCACCCCCTTTACACTATATCCCCCAGTAGACAGCCTTTCAGAATGTCACATCGTTCTGCTCAGTACCCTCCAGCAGCCTCTCACCTTACTCAGAACAAAGCACACATGCTACACATTACCATGGATGACCAGCATGTTCTGACCCATGTTCTCTTCCTACACAGCACCTGCTGTCCTCTGTCCACGCCGGGTATTCTCAGACTCAGTCGGTCTTCTCTTGGAGGCTTTACCATCACTCGCCTTCTGTCTGACATGCCCTTCTCAGATTCATGCTTCATGATTCACTCTGATTTCTGCACCAGTGTCAACTACCATCCTATTAGTGAGCTAACTACCCTGTATAAAATGACAGTATCCTACCCAGGAGAAGGCAGCACCCTGCATGGCTTCATCATCATCTGCCATATATATCTGCTGGATACCGAAACCTTGAGCTCCCTGAGGGCAGGAACTTGACAGTAACTGTATTATCCCCATGTAGGGCAGATTTTGGCTCATAGTAGAGACAATAGCATGTTGTTTTCCATTTGGCTCTGCTTAGTATGTTTTCATGAATTAACCAAATATCACTTGGGAAAATGTTTTAACTTTCTATCAAACTTGTTGGATAAAGTATGTGCACCCAAGGGACCAGCCTTGAATTTTCCAATTACCTCAGACATCTAGGGAGTCTGCTGCCATGAAGTCTCTCAGATTACATCATCTTTCCCAGGTGTCTTCATGAGTCAGCGCAGCCCATTACATCAAAGCTCATGAGTCTCGCTTGGAAAGGCTGTTAACAACTGGACCACTTTCTATAGGTGAAGCTGTATCACCACAGAAAACTTTGATTTCTGTAGGACATCTAGGTTCTGGCTAATACCTAAGTCACTAAGCAATAATAACAATTCTGTTATTGGAAGCCTCTAGGGATGTCAGGAGGGGTGGCTCTTTCTTGGCTTGTATGAAAATAGGGTCTTAGCTCAGTGTATTCCAACTGCTCTAGCAGCTAAAGATCCATGGAAAGTCAGAGTGATCTGAAAAACCCCAAACCCCATGGCAAGGAAAAAGGAATTGGAGGCTCTAGAGACTGTCCTAGGATAGTGTGTTTCAGAACTTTGAGCTAGGCATACTGAAACATCAAGATGCAGCCCTATGATGTAAGTGATGCGGCTGGTGTTACAGCCGAGGAAAAAGGCCTTCCTCTGGGATACTTTAACAGGGTAAACACGGCTGTCTTGGAATACAAACACCCATATATCTGCCAGTGCACCATCCTCTAACCTCCCTGCAATCACCGTTCAACATTACTCCAGAGGATGTGTACCTGTGTCTGTCAAGTGTGGCTGGATGAAGAGAATGCCAATTAGAAGCAGAACAGAGGAAGAGGCATCCCACTGTGTGTCAGCTCCTACATTATTGAGAAGGCATTCCTTCATCACTTCCTCAAAACTCTTACAGGTCCATTTCTGTGATGATTCATTTCAGCTACAAGGTCCTCTATCACAGCTCTTGCTACCAGGTGACAGTATTAATGCTCATCTCCCCTACTGGATACACAGACATCACTAGCATCTCACTTTGGTGGGAACACTTACTTAACTCAGACACAACTGGGAAGCTTTGCCGGCTTGCCATCACGACAGGAAAAATGAAGGGAAGTCTTTAAGATACCAGAAGTCTACCTTAGAGGCATTTGTCAATGGGCCTTGAATATAGCTTAGAATCTCTGTATTCTCCAAATAAAGATTTAAATTTGAATGCTAGGACTCTGTCCCAACAGTGCTTAAAGTAGACATTCAACATTCAGTGTTCACTTCACAGGCAGACATCACTGATCTGCCTGGCAAAAGATGGTCAACCATGTGTCCCCAGGGTAGTATGTGATATATGCCAATTCATACACCATATAGACTGAAGGCTGCAATGGCCAAGGGACCTGGAACTGTGGCAAGTACTCAGCTAATGGCTGTCAGACTTGGACATGCTTGCTAAGGGTCATTCCTTCTCAGGCATCTCTATCATTACTTTGATCCTATAACTTCAAAATGGGAATCTTACTGTAGCCATGAAGTTCTGAAAACAAGGTCCACCTTACAAATAAAGAGACCAAGCATAAGCTTTTAAAACTAATTAACTAGCTGTGCATCTAGCTAAAGTGAGGCCAGAATCAGAACTCAGTGGAAGTTCCAGGGTTATTTCATCTCACCAATGCCCATTTTTAGTCTCCTGCCACACTGACTGGTGAGCGTAGGGTTCATGCCTTTACCCAACTAGAGGAAACAGTTCTTTCTAGGAAAGTGTCGTTTTGTTTTCTTAGAAGTTAGCAGTGTTTTGAAAACTAATTTCCTGATGAGAAAGTCTCACATTGTCTATCAGTCAGCACACTGACAAGCCCAAATCTCATCGACTTAAAAGGGTCTCTCCATCACAACATAGTACATGTAGTAAGGTGGGTGAAAGACACACATCCAATGAAGACCTAGTTCCCTGTCACTCCAAGACCAAGTCTGACAAGGCCATCTATTAATTCAAAACCCCTGCTCTTTCTGCCTCCTCCATGACAATTCTTCTACAGATAGTAGGCACCACTAAAACATTCTAGACATGACAGACCGTCTCACACACACACACACACACACACACACACACACACACACACACACACACACACACACACACCACACACACACACACACACACCATACCACACACATAGTAGCTGTGACTTATGCATAAGATCAAGCCAGATAGGTTCCAGGATGGATGGAGGAAGGCTTTAAATTCCCAAGCCACAGCTTAAGATCTGTAGGTACCTGATGGCTGCTGGGGGAGGGGCACTGTCAGTTTGCTTCAGGGATATATAGCCTCTGTTGACTGTCAATGCTCCAGGACATGCCCTGTGCACATACTGTCAGCACTGAGTAGACTCAATGGGTTTAAAGAGAGTACATGATGCTGGGAGAGCAAAGTGGTGGTGGAGAATATGGTACGAAATTCTTAATTTTTTTTAAAGGAAAAAAAGAGAACCCCTGATCTAGTGGTATTTACCCTTCCTATGCCCACAACATCCTTCCTTCAGTTCCTATTTCGATCAGGATGTCAGAAACAATAAGAAGAAACACTGGGAAAGTTGCACAGGATAGCCTATTTCCTTACATTACTTCTCTCCACGGTCTCCCAGCTACAACTCAGTAATGTGGACCCTACCTGCAGCAGGTGGTCTCTGGATGCTCCGAGGAAAAGAAGATGGAGTTTGGGGAACATGGCATTACCTCTGTGACACTGTCCAACACATTTATTAAGACTATACCAATGATAACACAACGTGACACATGGTATAAACTAAATGACACAACAGTATTAAATGCTACTGGTAACTAAAATTGACATCAACATTAAATAATACAAATACTACATGATAGAAATACTGTGATACCAAATAGTACAGATACTAAATGATACAGTGCTGAAACTGAGTAACACAGTCACACTGATGTTGATATACTTTTAAATGAAACAATGATGCACAGGCTAAATGACAGATGATAGATGATACCATGATAAATACGCAACATCTGTTTATATGCAAAATATCTTGACCCTAAGCCTGAGGAACTGTCTAGATTCATCCAGCCACATAGGAATGGCTGGTTGCAGGATCTTCCGTCTTCTCAGCTTACAAAGAGCAGCCTGCCAGCAAGTAGACAGGGCAGAGCCTACACAGAAAAGGTAATTAAGACCAGGTCTCCCATCAGCCAACGTGGCAAAACAGGGCTTTGTGGCTGTTTGACAGACAGGGTCTCACCGTGTAATTAAGGCTGCCAAAGAACTCGATATGTTACACAGGCTAACCTCAGACTCAAGATCCCCTTGGCATTGCCTCCAAAGTGCTGGGATTATAAGCATTTGTCACCATGCTTGTAATGACTCATTGGGTTTCACCAAAGCATTTGTACAATTCTTCCAGATTTATCTTCCCAGACCATCTAACTTCTAAGACTTTGTCTCACTCTGTAGGCCAGGCTGGCCTGGAATTTACTCTGTAGCATAAGCTGGCCTCTAACTCACAATCCTGCCTCGGCCTCTCCAGGCTGGGATTATCATTATAGACTATGACTGGCTTCCAAAGCACTTCTGTGCTTCTGAGAGTCTCTAACTCAGGCCAGGCTGGAACTCTCCATCCTCTTGCTTTGTAAGTGCTGGGATTGTAGGTGCACACCAACATGCCAGGCTCAATCTGAAATAACCAACTGGTATTGATGGCATCAAACAAGCGGAGTGATACACATGTTAAACTAAACAGTTTGTTAACATGGTGACCCACCCTCAATTCTTGGAAGAGGAATATGCCCCAGTTTAAGTAAGATGACATCTAAGGCTCTAAGATCATGGAAAGATCTACTCCAGACCCTACTGCACACAGCACTGTCAGAGGAAGCTAGATGCCAAAGAGGACCTTGAGGTCAGCCAGTGTGAGCTTGGTAACAGATCCTCCAGACCCTGAAAGGACCTGTTTGGCCAAGTCTTTCTTTTTTTCTTGGAGCTGTAAGATCTTCTCTTCCACTGTCCCCTCACAGACGAACCTAGAGCAAATGATAACATAACGTCAGTGCCCAAGCGGCTTATTGAAGCACACATTTGAAGTTCCCTCGACTTCAGTTCTAAAGGAAATGTCTCCCTGGCATTAGATGAGAGCAGAGAATCCACACAACTCTGACAAAATACATCTGTTTAAAGTGATGCGCCTCAGGCTTTCTGAAGTGAGGGCACAAAAGGCAATCTGTGTAGGGCTCCATCAGAGTTAACTCTTAATTCAAGGTACACAGGGTGATCAGGTGTTTGCTAGATGAGATGGTGGAGTAGGCACAGCATCCCAGGGAATGAGAACTTGTGTAAACTGTGGCTGAGCTTTAGAACATGGTATGTTTAATTAAAGAGCATACTGTCCAATCAAGTCTACTGGTAGCAAAAGTTAAGGAGCTGTGGGCCAGATTCTCAGTGGTTATCCCCACTACATGGAGACCCTGAGAGTAAATCTACAGGAAGTGAGCCATTGAAGAAGGTATGCCATGTCCCAACAGAATGATCAATCAGAAAGAGCCCTCTGCTGGCAAGGCAGGACAGGCATCAGCAGAGCTGTATAGGGAGCTGGCAGTGGGGATAGGAAGAAATGGGTGGTTAGCAGCTCAGAAAATACAACTGAAAGCCTGGGCATGAAAGAGGGAGAGGAGTCTAGTTTCTGGCTGTACAGCTAGATAAGCCAGTACTATCCACACAGATATCACACACCTATGTACTGAGGCAGTAGGAAAGCAAAACTTTCAGACTGATGTTTTCACCCTGGAGGGTGTAATTATACTTGGCACATTCAGGTATTCAGTAAGCATTCATTCTGTTATCTGAAGGCAAAGCGGATGAATGGAGATGGATAAGTACTGCATACTTAGGTTTAGATGTTTAACAGGGATCCGGATATCCAGATTGGAAGTTTAGGAGAAAGGAATTAAAAATACAGATTTTTTTTTTAACTTAGTAGAGTGATATAATTAAAGGAGAATATGAAATGAGCAGAGAAGAGAGCTAAAGACAGGAAAACTAATTATCACTGCATGTGGCAAATTCTGGATGTCACCGGTGACCCTCAAACAGGGACAGCTTCTATGAAATGGGTGGAAGCACTCAGCAAGACTGAGGAAAGGATGGAAGTAAGCAGTACTGACTGTGACTTCTAAACTCTTCACTAGACCCTGTCAGGCAAAGGAAGCAAAACCAAGGGCCATAGGAAGAGTGGACTGTAACACCGAGGCACGTTCTGATGTTCCTAAAGCCATGCAGGCCCCAAAGAGGAGCATACTGCAAAGTAACAGGCTGTGCTCTTCAAAGGCAATGTCACAATCAGAGAAGAGCCCTGGCAGATTGAAGGATACACAGTCATGACAACCAAACGCTACTCGGGATGTGGGATCTCCTTCTGCTGTGAAGGACAGCATTGGGAGATAGGAACCCAAATATGTGTTGATCAGGCTTGGTATTATGCTGATGGTAACGTTCTAATGTTGATCACTTCAC